CGTTAATTAAAAAGTCAATTACAATACATAATAATATAAAAAAAAAATTCGACGGAATAGGATAGTGAAATAATAATACTTGTGTATAGAAACAATAAATAAACTTTATTTACGAACGATTATCACAATGTAGACTTAGTTAAATAGCCTAGCGAGCAAAATAAAAGAATCTTAAATGAAAATTATATATATCAGTCTCAAACATTTTCATTACAAAATACTGCAAGTTTTTTTGTAACAGTTTTGAAAAATTAACTAATTAATCAACTTCCTCCACAGTGGGTCCCGAGTTTTGGCCACCGAAAGAATTTCCATAGGGATTTTGTCCTTGCCTAAATTGACTTCCACAATTCTCACCTCCTGCTCCTTGATGTATTTTTGTCAGAAGTGGCGAGCACAATTTCTCAATTTCCTTCAATTTATGAACAAATTCCTCCTTCTCGGCGAGGGTATTATTGTCAAGCCAATGTATCGTCTCTTCACAATAATCCAAAATTGTTTTCTTCTCCGAATCATTCAATTTTGTACCACAATCATTAACGGCTTGCTTCACATTGAAGACATAGCTCTCAACTTTATTGCGAGCCTCAACTTTTTCACGTTGCTGTTGATCTTGATCGCGATAACGTTCAGCCTCCGACAACATACGATCAATTTCCTCCCTCGACAATCGTCCCTTGTCATTGGTGATGCGAATATTATTACTGCGTCCACTTGCCGTGTCCTTAGCCGTAACATGAAGAATACCATTGGCATCCATATCGAAGGTGACATCAATTTTTGGCACACCTCGTGGCGCCGGTGCAATATTACTCAACTCAAAACGCCCCAGGAGATTATTGTCCTTGGTCATTGCACGTTCACCCTCGTAAACTTGAATAGTAACGCCCGGTTGATTATCGGCGTACGTGGTGAATGTTTGCGACTGTTTACAAGGAATGCGTGCGTTGCGTTCGACAATTTTTGTCATCACTCCGCCTGCCGTTTCGATACCAAGAGACAATGGAGCCACGTCCACCAGCAGAACATCCTGAAGTGTTGTATTATTGCCTCCCTCACCGCTGAGTATTGCCGCCTGAACCGCAGCACCATAAGCCACGGCCTCGTCGGGATTAATTGACAAATTCAATTGTTTTCCGCAGAAGAAATTTTGCAACATATTCTGAATCTTTGGAATACGCGTTGAACCACCAACAAGTACGACCTCATCAATTCTTCTCTTATCAATTTTAGCGTCAGCCAACGCTTTTTCAACAGGCTCTAGTGTTGCACGAAACAAATCGGCGCACAATTCCTCAAAGCGTGCGCGCGATATTTTTGTATAAAAATCCAAACCCTCGTAGAGTGCATCAATTTCAATGCTCGCCTCAGTGCTCGACGATAGTGTTCGTTTTGCTCTCTCCGCCGCTGTTCGCAATCGTCGTAGACTTCTTGGATTTTGACGTAGATTTTTTCTAAATTTCCTCTCAAATTCCTTGCACAAATGTTCAACAAGTCTATTGTCAAAATCCTCACCACCCAAATGTGTATCGCCTGCTGTTGATTTCACTTCAAACAATGAACCCTCATCAATTGTCAATATCGAAACATCAAATGTACCTCCGCCCAAGTCAAATATTAATATATTCTTTTCGCCTTTGAGATTTTTATCGAGACCATAGGCAAGTGCAGCGGCTGTTGGTTCATTTATTATTCGCAAAATATTGAGTCCAGCAATTGCACCGGCGTCTTTTGTCGCTTGACGTTGGGAATCGTTAAAATATGCTGGTACTGTCACAACTGCGTCTTTTACTTTTTTCCCAAGATATGACTCTGCTGTTTCCTTCATTTTTGTCAGCACCATTGAACTTATTTCCTCTGGATTGAATCTCTTTATTTCACCGCGAAATTCAATTTCAATTTTTGGTTTTCCTGGAAATGCAAAAAAGAAAACAAATTTAGAATTTTTATTTCACTTTCTTTTTATTTGTAAATTAAAAATTTCCTTTTTTACGTAATTGTTAATTGTATTTAATACAAAATATTTTTCGGTTTCTATGATTTTTTACTTTACTCATTTTGAAAAAATAAACTAAAATACAATTTTAATTTTACAAAATGAAAATAATAATAAAAAATAACAATTATAAATTTTCAAATAGTAAAATGCATTGCATAAAAATTTTTTGTCCCTTCTTTAATTACATATTTCTTTTTTTCTATACTTTGAGAAACATTATTTTTATACTGTAAAATAATAAGATATTCAAATAAAAAAAAAGAAAACAAATTTGTCGAAAATAATAATCAACCGAAAAATATTTTTTTCTGTATTTTAATTTTTGTAAAAACTTACAACATGAAAATATTTTTTAAAAAAAGAGAAAAATAATAATTATCAACAAAAGTATATTATTATTATTATAAATTTAACATAAAATACAAATGGAATTTTGTGCAAAAATTAGAAATAAAATTCTTGAAATTAAGAAGAAAAATTTATTGGAAAAAGAAGAATAAAATCCAATAAATTCGTGAATAAACAAATAATTTTTCTACAATGCAATAATTTAAAGAAAAAATATGTATTTTTTTTTAAACTTACCTCCATCATTGACGACTTTGAAGGGCCAATGTTTCAGGTCACTCTGAATTTTTGGATCGTCAAATTTTCGACCAATCAATCGTTTTGCGTCAAAAACAGTGTTGGCCGGATTCATTGCCACTTGATTTTTCGCAGCATCGCCAATAAGACGTTCAGTGTCTGTGAATGCAACGTAACTTGGTGTTGTTCTATTGCCCTGATCGTTGGCAATTATTTCCACTTTTCCCTGTTGCCAAACACCAACACAGGAATATGTGGTTCCCAAATCAATTCCAATTGCAGACATTGTATTTGCTTTTGTCACTTTCACGTTTGTTTTAGAAAAATTATTAGTAAACTTTGCGTTACTAGACGATGTGTTATTCGTTTGATTGCTTTTCATGTACTGCCGGCACCATGCGCGTTCACTGCTTATATACATTCACGAGTCGTTTTCTCGAAACTTCTCGAGGCATCTCTCGAAGCCACTCAAAACTTCTGGCACTGTCTCGAGCGTAATATTTATTTTAAGAAATATTTTTTTATTCCGCGCGCTTTCATTTTATTATTCAACTCATTTTTATTAATATTATTATTAAAAATATAAAAATTATTATTTTGTTATTAAATAATAATGATTTAATAAATAAATTAAAATTTGAGTTTTAATTTTTTTTCTTATATCTAAAATTATTGTTAAGTACTTTGTATCAAAGAGCTTTAAGCCCGTAATTAATAGAAATAAATAAAACTTATATATGAGTTTTGAATGATTAAAAGAAAAATTAAAATGTTTTAAATTTATAACATAACACATTTTCAAATTAGAAAATTTATTAAAAAATTTGCATATATTCGAATATTTGTGCCCGATTAAAATAAACAAAACATTTATTTTTGAAACAATTTTGAAAAACTACTTAAAAACAATATATTTTTCTTTTATTACTTTCTTTTGTTGTACTTTTTGTTTATAGAAAAAATTGCTTTTATCATATTTGAAAAAAAGATAATTTATTATTTATTAATAACTAAAATAATTCGAATAATTATTAAATAATTATAAAAAAAATTAAATAATATTCAAATTAAATAATTATAATAATAATTAAATAATTAAAAAAATAATAATAAATTAATAAATATATTATTCGCTTCGATTTCTCGACTTTTCGAGAAGGTTCGACGAAAAATTTCCAAGAGATAGTTTTTAGAATTCGATTTCCAATAAAAGTTTCAAATTTTTATTGGTTGTGTTTTCATTAATTTTTTTTTTATAACTATTTTTAAATCGTTAATTAAAATTAATGAATATATAGTAAACAGTTTTTTTTAACATCGTTCTTTTGGTTAATTTTCAGACGGTAAATTTTCTCTAGACGCTTCAAGAAGTTTCTAGATTCTAAATATACATATATTGATCGGTATGATTCGAGCAGCTCCGAGAATCTTGGCTTCTTTGTTATTGTTAATTTTTCTCACCCGTTTTCTCATTCTTTGTTACGTTTATTCAATCGCGAATTTTTTTTTTTTTTTAAGTTAAATAATTTAGAAAAAATGAATATCTTTTTTCAAAATGAAAAAAAAATTCTGATTTATTCTTTTTTTTATAATTTATTTATATTCTCACGATAAAATCTGGTAAAAATGTTCAATTTCAAGGTTATTCTTAAAAAAAGTTGTGGCAAATTCCACATCTTTTGTTCTCATTGTTAAAAATAAAAAATTTGTATTAATCAAGTGAATTTTTTTTTTAAATTTAAAATTTATTTTTTAGTTTATAATTTAAAAAAATAGAACTTTAAATAAAAGCATTCTAAAAACAATTCTAGAAAATTCTATAAATTTCTAGAAAGTACTATAAAATTTGTAGAAAGTTCTAGAAAATTCTAGAAAATTCTTTAAATTTCTATAAAGTTCTATAAATTTCTAGAAAGTTTTATAAAATTATTATACTATTTATATTATATTATATATTATTTATAATTATATATATATATATTATATAATATTATGTTTAAATAATTTAATAAAATTAAAAGAGAAATTTAGTTCTACAGACATTTTTAGACATTTACAAAAAGTTTCCAAAAAGTTTCTTGAAGTTCTAGAAAATTCAAGAATTTCGAATAATTTAAGAAGAATTACATTAATTTTAATAAAAAATAATTCATTTACATAAATAAATAAATTATTAATAATAAGAACAAAAATAATACCTTACCTTATTCAAATACAAATTAACTTAATTTAATGAAATATATAAACTATGTGAAATTAAAAAAAAAATTTGTTTTTTAAATGTAACGTTTTTTATGATTTTCAAAAATCGTTAAATACCTTGTTAATAAATTTCTATTAATTTAACTTTAATTTCCGACATTTTTATTAAAAATATTCAAAAATTATGAATCATAGATTTTTTTAAAAAACATACCTTTGATTAAGAGTTGAAATCTGCTCCTCGAGAATTAATTTTCCTCTTATTGATTCTCTTAAATTTGCAATAGTTTCTCTCGCTAAATTTAATTCCTTTTCAAGATCACTTGCTTTAGCGGCTCTTAATACTAATTGTTTTCCTTCTTCCCAAAGTGCACGTTCCGATTCTAATTTTTCTATTTTATTATTTAAATTTTGTATTTCAACTTTTTGCAATTCAATTTCCTGTTCAGTAGCAATTGATTCTTTTAATTTCAATTCAAGTTCAATTATTCTTGTTTCAGATATTTCCACTTTTAATTGCATTTCTTCCATTTCATTATTGTCTTTTTCTGGTGACAATGAAGATTCTCTCTCTGATATTTCTCTCAATTCTCTTATTAGTTCCGAATTTTCATCTTGCAATGCAGCAATTTCATGTTCTAATCTCGATTTAACCTGTCATTAAAAAGAAAACAAAATTTTGTTATTTTAATTTTTAATTTAATTCGTAATTTAAAAATTTTGAAAACTAACTGTCTAAATTAGATTCTGAGATTTTTATATAGTATTTTAAACTATAAATATTGTTTTATATAATTTAAAAAATTCTAAGTTATGTTTTAAAATTTAAAGTAATTTATATATTTCCAAGGCAAAAACAATAATAGTTAAATAAAAAATACATTTTTCTCTATTATTTATTACTTTTTAGGACGCTATAATAAAAGCATTCTATTTTTAAAAAAAAAATTTTTTTACATTATATTTTTATTTATTATTTTTTTTTTGTTTATAACTAAAAAAATAGAACTTTAAATTAAAAGTATTTTAAAAATAATTCTAGAAAATTTTAGAAAATTTCTAGAAAATTCTATAAATTTCTAAAAAAAGTTCTATAAATTTCTATAAATTTTGTAGAAAATTCTATAAATTTCTAGAAAGTTCCACAAATTTTGTAGAAAATTTTTTAAATTTATAGAAAGTTTTGTATAAAATTCTAGCAATTTCTAGAAAGTTCTATTTCTATAAATTTGTTATAAATTTTCTTACATGTTTTAATTTTAAAAAGAAAAAAATAGAAATAATTACTTGAAGTAAATCTTTCTCGGCCGCTGCTTGTGATTCACGTGCTTCTTGTAAATTTCGTCGTCCAACATCTATTCTTAATTCTAATTGATTTATAACTTGCTTGTCTTGATCTATTTTCATTTCTAAAATATGTTTTTCTTTATCAAAAACCTCTTCCATCTCTCGACGTAATTTATGTAATTGTTCAACTGTCGCTTCTTGATGAGATAATCTGGCTTTTAATGAAATCATCTGTAAAGAAAAATTATAAATTTTATTCTAAATACTATTTTCCAAACATTTTCTTTATAAATCAATTATCCTGAATTTTTTTTGAAAATTTATCTATATTTCTCGTTTTTTTTTTATTATTATTCCATAAGAACAGCCTAATTTATAGTAAAATTTGTTTTTTACAAAAAAAAAATTCCTTAAAAATTTAGAGAGAAAATAATTTTTTTACTTTTTAAAAATCGAAACATTATTTATTTACGAGTTTACAAAAAGACAGTTAACGTTTATCAACATTTTTTTCACTTTTTGCGGTACTTTATATTTTGAAGTATAAAAAATAAAAAAAAAGAAAAATTTAAAAATTGGTAAAATTGAAAGAAATAAAATTATTCTTTTTTTAACAAAAATCTATTTAAAAAATGGTTAAGATTTTGTATTTTTTCTTTTATTTTTATTAAAGATAAATATTAAAGTTTAAATTAAAAAAGAATATATATTCAAAGTGTCTAACTACTATTCAACTATTATATATCTACTACAAATTTTTTTCAAGTTTTTTCATCCCTTACTACAAAAATATACTTAAGGAAAATTTTTTCTTAAAACTTTCTTAGAAACTATGCTGTCCTCATTTACCCCAAATTTTATAAAATTTTCTAAATCTTGGGGTAAATGGGGACAGTCTGTTTCATACGTTTAAAGCTCACTTAAATTTTTTTCTGCTGCATAAAATTAATCCTGGGAATTTTAATAACAACTTTAAAAAAAAATAAACCCGCAAATATTACCTTTTAAAGAATGAAACTTACATAATTTGTGAAAAATAGCAATTTTATCCCCCCATTTACCCCAACTGACCCTAATTTAAAATTTAAAAAAAAAAATATTAGAAAAAATGCTTTATAAGAGTTCTGCTAAATAGAAATTCATTTAAATTAAATTTTAGTTAAATACGAACCTGAAGTACGCAACGTTTATAATAAATGATTTTTAAAGAAATAATTTTTTAAATTGAAAAATTCTACAATTTTTTGATTAAAAAATATTTTTTAGGCCAAAAATTATAGAACTTTTTATTTTAAAAAATTATTTCTTTAAAAATCGTTTATCATAAACGTTGCGTACTTCAGCTTCGTAGTTAAATGTAAATTCTTCGTTATAGAAATTTTGCATAATATAAAATCCACTTTATACAATTTTTGCTAAATAGAAATTCGATAATTTAATATTCGACGCCGTAAAAATTTTTATAAGTTAAATATGGATATTAGCATTAAATAATAAATTATTCGTATTAATGAATATTTTACTTTATTTGAAGTTGAACCGATAAAATAAAATTGTATCAAATAATTTTTATTTATATTTTAAAAAACCAAATATTTCACTGAAAAAAATTAATTAATTGTTATTCAAGTTTAAAAAATCATTATTAGATTCAATAAATATCAGTAAATAATTATTTACTTAATGAATGTAAGGCATATCACATGCTTAATAATAGAGTGTGCAGACCAACTTTTTAATTTGCTTTTTTTTGGGGGGGAAAAAAGTAAAAAAATTTTTTGAAACTAATAGTTACTTTAATTTATTTAAAAAAAATTGCAGAAAATTAAAGAAATTCCCTGACTTTTCCCTGTCTATTTAAATTCCCTAAAATTTTCCCTGACTTCCCTGACCGTTAGACACCCTGTTTGTGAATATAAATTTACCTCGGCTTTTAAACGTCTCCATTCCCAAGGACTTTTAGGTACCAAATCTGTGGAGGAAGAATTAAAAGAATCTTCTAATTTCACACGTTTTGGAGATGCTCTACACTCCTCCTCCTTGATGCTTTTTGATGATGGTGATAAATCACTTGACAAACGTAATGGAATTCCAGTACTACGTCTGTATGCTTCTGTTCCAGATCTTAAATCTTTTAGCATTTTTATAACACATGTGGGATCTTCATTTGACATTTTGAGTAAATTGTTATTCTATAATAAAAAAAATAATAATATATAAATAAATTATTAGTTCTTGAATGAAAAACTAAAAAAAAAATAAAATATAAAAATAAAATTACAGGCGACTTATTATAATTATTAATAAGTAATAATTAATAATAATCTTATTATTATCGACTTTAAGGAGCAAAAAAAAGTCGTTTCAATTGATTTACATTGACAAAAAAAGTCGATATTTTTATTTTAATTAAATTTATGTACTTTAATTAATTTAATTATATTATTTATTTTAGTTTAATTTTTAACTCTAAATAATTAATGTTATTAGATATTGAATTCATTTTATTAAAATAAAATTATTAATTAAAATTAAAATTAAAATCCAAAACATTGGAAGAGTTATAGTTGAAATTTTTGAGAAATAATTAAATATCAAAAGATTTTGTTAAAGTTTAGACAAATAATTAAATTTTACAGAATTGAAAATAATTTATCAAATAATTTTAGAGAAAATTTTTTTAAAAGTAATTGAATTATCAAAAAATTTATAATTCAGATATTTTTAAAATAATTGAAAATTAATTTTGAATTGAAATTTTTTGGTAAAGAATTTATTATAAACTAGTAAAATTAAACGCGCGCAAGCGCGCTAAATTGACTATTTCATTGTTTGTTATAAAGAAATTAAAGATTAATATTATCAATAATAATTTAATTTATTAGAATATTATTACATATTAAATGATAATAATGAAAATTATATGTTTACAGGCCTCGGTATATACGACTTTTTCCGACTTTTTTTAAAAATACGATTTTCATCGACTTATTTTAATAAAATGCGACATTTTTTTTCTACATTTGAAAAGAAAATGTAAATAAAATACATTTTTTTAGTATAAAATGTAGATCTTCTTCAGATCTTCTTTCAATTCAATTATTTAACAAATTTTGAACTAAAATGATTCATCATTAAATTAGTTATTTTTAATAATTTTAATGAAATATATCACAAATTCAATTATATCAAAATTATTTTTCAATTAAAATTTTTATGAAATTTAACAATTGTTTATAATTTAAAAAAAAACAATATCACAATAAAATTGAATTATTTTTTAAAAATTTCAATTCAAAATAAACCAAAATTCAATTATTACAAGAAATTTTAATTTAAAATTAATTAAAATTCAATAATTATCAAAAATTTTCAATTTAAAAATTAATTATTTACCAAGTTTTCAATTTAAAATGAAATAAAAGTCGATTATTTTCTAAAATTTCTATTCAAAATTAATTATTTAAATTTTCAATCAAAAATGAACTTAAATTAAATTATTATCCAAAATTTCAATTAAAATTCAATTATTTCCCAAAATTTTCAATTCAAAATCAATTAAAATTCAATTATTTTCCAAAATTTCAATTCAAAATCAACTAAAATTCAATTATTTTCCAAAATTTCAATTGAAAATTAACTAAAATTCAATTATTTTCTAAGATTTCAATTGAAATTCAATTATTTTCAAAATTTGCAATTCAAAATCAACTAAAATTGAATTATTTTCAAAATTTTCGATTTAAAATCAATTATTTTCCAAATTTTCAATTCAAAATCAATTATTTTCCAAAATTTCAATTCAAAGTCAACTAAAATTCAATTACTTTTCCAAAATTTCAATGGAAAATCAACTAAAATTCAATTATTTTCCAAAAATTTCAATTGAAATTCAATTATTTTCAAAAATTTCAATTCAAAATCATTTAAAATTCAATTATTTTGAAAAATTTTAATTGAAATTCAATTATTTTCTAAAATTTCTATTCAAAATTAATTATCCAAATTTTCAATCAAAAATGAACTTCAATTAAATTATTATTCAAAATTTAAATTAAAATTCAATTATTTCCCAAAAATTTTCAATTTAAAATCAAATAAAATTTCATTATTCTTAAAAATTTGAATTCAAAATTAATTGAATTTTCAATAATTTGAATTTAAAAGCATCTAAAATTTAATTATTTCTAAAATTTTCGATGGAAAATTTTTTTTTTTTTGAAATTTAATAATTTCAATTATAACTCTAAGGATATTCAATTATTTTTAACTATTTTAATAATATTCTTTGAAAATTCAACTATCTGGAACCATTTTTCAATTAAAAATGATTTTCAAATTATTGTATTTTGTCCGCATTTTCTAATAAATTTTTAGTGAAATCATCTAAAATTTTAATTACAAAACACTTAAAGTTTCAATTAATTTCAAAAATCTCAATTTTAAATCTTTAAAAATTCAATTAAATTTAAAAAATGTAAAATTATTTTTAGTTCTGTAAAATTTAATAATTGTTTGAAAATTAACAATATCTTTTGAAATTTAATTATTTCTAAAAATTTCAACTTTAACCCTTCGAATAGGATTATTATTAAAAAAAAAATTTTTTTATTTAAAAATCTGTAAAATATTTTTGTTAAAATAAAAAACAAATCCACTTTTTTTTGGAATATAAATCAACAAAAACGACTTTTTTGTGTCTTTAAGTTGATTCGAGGCCTGTGTTTTTATAATTAATATTTAATAGGTATTCGTTGGCCCCTGGTACTTTAAAAATAAATTTTTTTCAAATTACTATCTTGTACGAAATTTCCTGGCGCATCTTTTTTCTCATCATAAATATCATCAATAAATACTTGAATCTAATTAAAATTTTTTTTATGTAATTAATAATTAAAAAATAGAACTTACCTTATTTTTAAATAATAATATCTTTTAAACAATTCAATTTTATTGTCAAGTGTCCTAAAAATTAGTGAGTTAGTGTTTTTTTTTTTAATTTAAAAAACGTTTTCTTTTAATTTTCTGTGAATTTGAAGAAATGGCCTGTTTAAAAATGTTGTTTTTAATTCGAAAGAATAATATAATTATTTTTAATTTATTAAATTTTGTAATTGTTTTTTCGAATATATTTCTTTCGGAATATTTTTATAAAAGAATTTTTTAGTTTAAGGTTATGTTTAAGTATTGAACATTCTTCAAATTTAAAAAAAAATTACTATTTAAATGTTTATTTTAAACTAAAAACACTGTTAATATTAAAAAATTGATATAAAAAAGTTATTTTTTCTTATTACAAAAGCATCGTTAACATAAATTTTATTTTTAAACTTTTACGTACCTTAAAAATTAGATATGATGTTCGTTCCTTGAATGTAAACAATTATAAGTCTTGGTATTTACAAAATAAATTAAAATTTCTTTACATACAAAGTACACATAAATCAGAAACTCAATTTATTTATTAATATTTATTATATTCTGAAAATACCGAAATACAGTAGTATTTTGACAGCAAGATTAAGTTAGGTTAGACCGCCAAATGCTGTCAAGGATGGGAACTTGAAAATAAAGCAGGGTTGAGAAAGTGTGATTTGCAGAATCTCCGTAAATATCAAAGTTCGAAGATTGAGACATTTCACATTTGGAATGTTCTACTTAAATTTATTATGTATTCCCTTCTGTGTTTAATATGAAGTTTTATGACTTGAATCCAAAATACAGAAATCATCAAAATAATAAAAATTTCAATAAACTTAATAAGTATAAAGTTACAAATAAATAAACAGAAAATGTTAACGTAAAATGTTCAATTTTTGTAACTTTAGAAGAAAATTTTAATAATAAATATTAAATAGTGTTAAAGTTTATTTAACGAAAAACAAAAATGTATATAACTTACGTGGCAATTTGTTTGCTTGCCTTATCTGCATTAACATTAGGGGTAAATATTAATTATTCTTTACGTAAAATAAGGAAATTGTCAAATTTTTTTTTCCTGATTAAAGTAGTTGTAAATAATCTTCTGAACTTTGTAAAAAAATCTTTCACAATTTAAAATTACCAAAATTCTTTTTCTATATCCTGGAATTTTAATTATTTCTGAAAAACTTAAATATATATATATATATCACTTCAAAATTCAATTACTTTTAAAATTTATATCTAAAATTCTTTGCTAAATTAATTATTTCAATAATTTTAATTCAATTTTTTAAAAATTCAATTTTTTTTTTTAAATTAAAATTTAATTACTGTTTAAAATTTTGTCAAATAATTTTCAATTCAAATTTACAAAATTAATAAATTAATTTTTTTTTCAATAATATTTTAATCAAGTTCTTTGAAAATTTAATTATTTTAAACATTTGCCAAAGATTCTGAATTCGAATAAATTTGTACAATAACTTGGAAATTTTTTTCTTTTTTTTTTTTACTTTAAATTATTTTTCAAAATTTGTCCTACTGAATTGAAATTTTGAAAATTTGTCATAATTTAATTGAAACATTCTTATTATAGAATTTTAAAAAAAAATTATTTAATTTCTAATAATTATAATTAATGTCAATAATAATGAAATATTTAAATTAATAAAATTTATTAAAAATAAAAAATATCTCGAGACTTTTTTGATTTTTGTTGTAATGGAAAATCGATTTCTTTTTCTATTTAAAGTCAATCCAAGGCCATGAATTAGGAAAATTGTAATTCTTTTTTTTTTTTTTTAAGAAAAAATTAATTCTAAAATTTAATTTAAATAAATTTAAAATTTCAATTTCTTTGAAAAATATAAATAAATTCAAGTTTTTTTTATATTTTACAAGACGCTTTTCAGTTTGATGAAACAACAAAATTACTTGCATTTTTCAAGCAAAAAAATTAGTTTAGAAGTAATTTTCATTATGTGGAAAATTAATTTTAAAATAATTTTAAAAAATAAAAAGCGTTTATTTATTAGATTTATGCAATTTAAATTTTTATGTTAAGACCGAATTCATTTCAAATCAGACAGGCTTGACTTGGTCGGAGCTGAAAATAATTTTCACCTTCAAAATGTTGTTCTTCAATGAATTTTAGACGACACGTATTTTTTTATTTTGCTGAAAAAAATTTTTTCTTTAAGTTATAAGGAGTTTAAATATATAAGTCGAGAACTTCGTTTTTTTTAAAATGAAGAGAAAAAATCTTAAAAGTGATGTAACTTTTTGAGTAATTAAGATAAATCACTTTTTCCTTTTGTATCTGAAAGGACTTTTATTCTTCTTTCGAAATCCATTGGAAAATTTAAAAAATATTTAAAAATAACAAAATGGCGGCCATTTTACTAAAAAACTTTCATTTGAAATTACTCAAAAACCCCACCTTTTTTTTTGCTCAAAATTTTTTTGGGAATTGTGTTCATAGGGAGGAATATTGCCCACAAGAATTTAACTTGTTCCCTATTCTGGCACAAGAAAAAAATTTTTTTTATATTTTTTAAAAGAAAAACATCATTTTTCTCAAAAAATATCACTACATATAAAAAAAATGTCTCAGATAAAAGTTGTTCCTCGTTAAAAGACCTAAAAAAATGTCTCTTGTCATTTTTGTCCATCTTGTGTTTCTTCAACAATATTTGCAAAACATGGATTAAAAGCTCACATTTATTGCTTTTTAAATATCATTTAAAATAGTTTCATAAATCTGTTTTGAAATAGTTCTTTTTTGTCTTTTTCCATAGCAACAATCAAATAATAATTAATAATCTTTACTGTCACAGAGGTTAAAATTGTTAATTTTTTGTGTTCAGTAAAATAATAGCGAGTATTAATATTAAGAAATTAAAGAATCAGTTATTATTTTTTAAAAAGCAAAATAAGGTATGTTTATATAATTTTTGTATTGTAATGTCACTATTATTATTTTTAAATATGAAAAGGTCTTTTAGGTCTTTTAACGAGGAACAACTTTTATCTGAGACATTTTTTTTTATATCTAGTGTATTTTTTGAGAAAAATGATGTTTTTCTTTTAAAAAATATAAAAAAAATTTTTTCTCTTGTGCCAGAATCGGGAACAAGTTAAATTCTTGTGGGCAATATTCCTCCCTATGAACACAATTCCCAAAAAAATTTTGAGCAAAAAAAAAGGGTGGGGTTTTTGAGTAATTTCAAATGAAAGTTTTTTAGTAAAATGGCCGCCATTTTGTTATTTTTAAATATTTTTTAAATTTTCCAATGGATTTCGAAAGAAGAATAAAAGTCCTTTCAGATACAAAAGGAAAAAGTGAATTATCTTAATTACTCAAAAAGTTACATCACTTTTAAGATTTTTTCTCTTCATTTTTAAAAAAAAACGAAGTTCTCGACTTATATATTTAAACTCCTTATAACTTAAAGAAAAAATTTTTTTCAGCAAAATAAAAAAATACGTGTCGTCTAAAATTCATTGAAGAACAACATTTTGAAGGTGAAAATTATTTTCAGCTCCGACCAAGTCAAGCCTGTTTGATTTGAAATGAATTCGGTCTGAAACATTGAAAATTACATTTTAAAAAAAATTAATTACTATACTGGGAAAATCTCTCCTTTAAATCTGACTTTTCTCTATAAATTTATCATCTTTTAAAGAAATTTTGAAAAAAAAATTTTGATTTCTATACTTTCTGTTTTAAAATATTTTTTATTCATCAAGAAAATGGGTGGTATCAAAATTTTCACCGGTAGGGTAATTTAAAACAACTTTAAAGCATTTTGGTTAAAAAATATACATTTAGATTTTTCAATATTTTTCCCCTTTTTTCAAATAAAATTTTCCTTTTTTTTTAGCAAATATGCTGTGAAGCCTCTAATTTATTTAATTAAAAATAAATTGAAGTTACAATATTAGATTTTTTTTTCATAATTCAATAGACGATAGATTAAGTTGTTTTTTATTTTTTAATTTTAGAATGAATTAGATCACGATGGATGGTTACAATTGAGACTTTTGCATTCTTTTGACGATTCACCAACACCTAATTTCATAGATAGAGGAAATATTTCCATATCAAGCGTACGTCATGGATCGGCAAATGTTGTTCAAATTGGCTTGCAAGATTCACAAGTGACTCAATTGAAAAAACTCGCTCAAAATGGAGAAAAATATCGATTAAAAGCCATTGTTCGATCATCCTCAGGAAGTGAAACAACTTTCCTCACTTCTGTGCTTGCGGTAAAAAAAAAAAAAATTAACATATCTTAATTTACAGGGTGTCTAACGATCAGGGAAGTCAGAGAAAGACAGGGAAAAGTCAAGGAAAAATAAGGAAATTTCTTTAATTTTCTGGAATTTTTTATAAATTTATTTTGGAATCAAACTCCCAAAATTCACAAACCGCGAATATATATAAGTCAACATTATAAGTTAACAAACATTATTATTATTATTCATAGTTTATATGCCTTTCGGCTTTTGAACGTTATTATTATTATTATTATTATTATTATTATTATTATTATTATTATTATTATTACTATCGACAAATATTAATATAATATTATATATTATATTATATTTGTCAATATAGGAGAAATACCTGAGTAATATCGGACCACTCCAAATTTTTTATAAATATATTAAAGTAACTATTAGTTTCAAAAATTTTTTACTTTTTCCCAAAGCAAATGCAAATTAAAAAGTTGGTTTGCACACTCTATTATTAAGCATGTGATATATCTTACATTCATTAAGTAAATTATTATTTATTTCTATTTATTGAATCTAATAAATGATTTTTTAAACTTGAATAACAATTAATTAATTTTTTTCAGTGAAATATTTGGTTTTTTAAAATATAAATAAAAATTATTTGATACAATTTTATTTTATCGGTTCAACTTCAAATAAAGTAAATTATTCATTAATACGAATAATTTATTATTTAATGCTAATATCCACATTTAACTTATAAAAATTTTTGACGGTTTCGAATATTAAATTATCAAATTTCTATTTAGCAAAATTTTATAAAGTAGATTTTATATTATGCAAAATTTTCAATTTAAATTTAACTAAAATTCGATTTAAAAGAATTTCTATTTAGCATATTATTTATAAAATAATATTATAAAATATTATAAAATAATTATTTTATTTATTATAAAGCATTTCTTCTAATACTTTTTAAAAATTTTCAATTAATATAATTTCAATATAACAAAATTTATGTCTATAAATATTAGCAAAAAAAGAACTAAGTAGAATTTTACTTAAATTTGATAAAAAAAAAGAACTAAGTAGAATTTTTCTTAAATGAGAATTCTGTTAAATAAGAATTAGTTGGAATTAAAATTTTCTTTAATAAAAATTTTGTTAATTAAGAATTTTGTTAAATAGAAATTCTGTTAATTGTGGATTTATTCAATGACAATTCTGTTAAGTAAATATTTTGATAAATCAAAAATTAATTTTAATCAAATTTTTAATCAAATTTAATTTGCTTCAAAATCTGCTTTATATAATTTTACTAAATAAAAATTTGATAATTTATGATTTGACGCAGTAAAAATTCTACGAAACTAAAGTACGTAACGTTTATGATAAACGATTTTTAAAGAAATAATTTTTTAAATTGAAAAATTCAATAAATTTTTTTGCTTAAAAAATATTTTTTTTATAATCTGTTGATTAATGAAAACTGCAAGAATTATTTTTTAGGCAAAAAATTTATAGAATTTTTCAATTTAAAAGATTATTTCTTTAAAAATTGTTTATCATAATCGTTGCGTACTTCAGCTTTGTAAAATTGTTTTAAATTAAATGTTGAGAATATTTAATACGTCCCCAATTAGTTTATTTATTTTACTTAAATATTTTATTTTTTTACAAAACATTATTTATTTGGTTTAAATACTTATGAAATTAATGGATATTAAACAGGTAAATAATTTAATTGTATCGAAATAAATTTTATTTGATCAAAATAAAAATTTTTTTAATGTAATTCTGATCAGGAAAAAGTCAGTGAAAAATCAGGGAATTTTTTTCCTTCCAGTTGTTAGACACCTTGTTAATTATTATCCCTTTTATTTTATTAACAATAATTATTTATAACATTTTTACAGGCAGTATCAATTTATTTTTACATATTTTTATTTTAATTGATTCTGTTATTGAAAAATTTCTTACATTATTTTATTTGTTTTTGTCACAAAAATTTATTAAATATTTATACAAGATGATTTTTACGGTTCCGGACCACCGAAAATTTTTTTTTAATTCCACTTTTTTTTTATTTAAAAAGCGAAAAAAATTTTTTTTGAGGGGGTCCGGAACCGTAAAAATCATCTTGTATAAATATTTAATAAATTTTTGTGATACATTATTTGGAGGAAAAAAAAATTTTTTTTGTATTTCATTTTAGTGCAATTTATTGGGTATGGATTTAGAAGATTTATTACACGTATGGCTTGACAGTGCAGCGGAACCGGTAGCTGTAAATTTAGTATCACGTGGACCTTGTATTACACAAGGGCCATCGACTAAAATGTGGACAACAAATGTACAAGTTAAATATCCTGATGGGGGTCCAATTCCCGATACGGCAACTTATATACACAAATTAGAAAAGGAACGCGAGGCTCGTGAAAGAGGAGAAACCAAAGACAATAGATCATTTTTAGCTAAATATGTAAGTAGTTTCAAAATATAACGTCAATTGACGTTAATAATTTTTTGACGCATCGGCTCGAAATCGAGTGATTCGATGTTCTGTTGTTAAAGTAATATAAAAATTTCATTACCGTTTCGAAATATAATTTTTTCGTAGTAGAATTTTTTTTTTTCGTTCTAATATAATTTTAAAGAAAAATTTGAAAAAAAACTAATTTTTTCTTTGATTTGTATAGGTATAAAATAAATATAAAATAAAATGCATATCGTCAATTGGGGCTATTATACTCAGAAAAGCGCTACTTTTTGTACTCGGTGTTTCACAAAAATTCATAATTTAAATTGAGTAATAACATTTAGTGCCCTCTGTGACAAAACTAATTTCAATAATAAATATTTTATATTAATTAAAAACTAGGGGGCGGTACGAATTCAACACAAATAAACTCTACACAAGAAAATACTGCACCGCTAACTGTACACAAGTCAATTGTCAACAAAATTAAATAAAAATATATTCTTCACAATTAAATACTACATCGAAAAACCCTACACAATAAACTATTTACTAGAAAATTATCTTCATAAACTCTACACAAATAAACTCAACATATTAAGATTTAGAATTAGAAAAATGAAAAAAAAATTTTTTTTATAATTCTACACAAATAAATACTACATCAGTAAATTTTACACAGCTATAAAAAATAATAAATTAAATTCGACACAATTAAATTTTACACATGAAAATAATATTTTCTTTATTTCCGATTATTTATAAAATTCTACACAATTAAACTCTACATTTATAAATTCTACACATCAAATAAAAATATTTTAATCCCACACAAATAAACTGTACACATTCTAAATTCAACATATTAAATAAAAATAATAAAATTCAAAACGAGTAAACTTTACACAAGAAAATACTCCACCGCTAACTGTACATGAGTAAATTCTCAATAAAATAAAATAAAAATATATTCTACACAATTAAATACTACATCGAAAAACCCTACACAATAAACTATTTACTAGAAAATTATCTTCATAAACTCTACACAGATAAACTCAACACATTAAGATTTAGAATTAGAAAAATGAAAAAAAAAATTTTATAATTCTACACAAATAAATATTACATTAGTAAATTCTACACAGCTATAAAAAATAATAAATTAAATTCGACACAATTAAATTCAACACATGAAAATAATCTTTCCTTTTGTGTCGAATTTAATTTATTATTTTTTATAGCTGTGTAAAATTTACTGATGTAGTATTTATTTGTGTAGAATTATAAAAAAAAATTTTTTCATTTTTCTTCTAATTCTAAATCTTAATGTGCTGAGTTTATTTGTGTAGAGTTTATGCAGATAATTTTCTAGTTAATAGTTTATTGTGTAGGGTTTTTCGATGTAGTATTTAATTGTGTAGAATATATTTTTATTTTATTTTATTGAGAATTTACTCGTGTACAGTTAGCGGTGCAGTATTTTCTTGGGTAGAGTTTATTTGTGTTGAATTCGTACCGCCGTAAAAACTGGCGCTGAGTATAATAGCCCCTAGATGTGTAAAATAGCCTTGAATGACGGTAAAACAAATTTTTACTAATTTATTAATATTTTAGTATTTTAAAAAAATAATTTTTGTTATATTAATTTTTAATTTTTTTAAAAAAAAGCCCGTGAATTTGTGAATATTTTTATTTTTACATATATACACTGATTTACATTTCTTTGAAATCAGTAAAAAAAAAAATGATTTAAAACAATTTTTTCAATTTAAAATTCTCTAAAATTCTATGATTGTTTAAAATTTTGTTAATAATTTTCATTAACTCTAATTTACAATAATTTAAATGAAAAATCTCTAAAAATTTTAACTCAACATTTTTTAAAATTGAATTATTTCTAAAAATTCTTTGTTAAATTTATTATTTCTAATAAATTAAAGCAAGTTCTTCGAAAATTAAAATATTAAAATTTTTTTTTTCAATTAAAAATTGTCTATAATTAAATTATTGTCTGAAGCTTATTAAAAAAAAAAAACTGCAATGCAAATTTACGAAAATTTTAATTAAAAATCTTATGAAATTCAATTATTTCTATTTGTTTCGAAAATTCTTTGGTAAATTAATTATTTCTACTTTTATTAATTTTTGGTCAATATAATAATTAAATTATTTAATAGTAATAGTAATATTTTAAATTCCATAAAAAATTATAGAAAAAAAATTATTGCCCTTAATTTACAGAAATTTAGATGAGTTAAAATTTTACCGCCTCTTTCTTGACTGCAAAAAAAAAAATATATATATATATATATATATATAACAAATTTCAATTTATTTTCAAATCAGTCGATCAATATTGAAATGTATATTAATAATTTCTTACTTTTCAGTGGATGTTCATTGTTCCGGGATTAATCTTATTTGTATTAATGTCGGCACAAAATCCAGAAGGTGGTCCAGGTGGCGGTGGTTCACGATAGTGAAATATTGTACAAAAAAGAAACTACTTATGTTTTTGTCATTCAGTGTCAATCAGAAAATAAAATTGCATTTGTAAAATTGTCACTATTACAATATTTAAGTTTGACTGTCATATTATCTCAATTTACAAAAAAAAATAAAAACAAACAAAACTGTACAATTTTTTGTAGGGAGAAATAAGATTAGATAGTTTAATAAATTTTGTAAAATTTCTATACATACACAAAAATATAAAATTGGAAATATTTCATTTGGCGAAAAAATATTATGAATTTTGTATTGAGCAAAAAAATTATTAATTTTAAGAATGTAATATAATAAAGTGAAATATATATGTGTGTGAAATTAGAAAAGAGAATTTTAAAATTATTTATTTGGAATTTTGAGAAATTTTTTCTTCTAATTGGTATTTTTATTAAAATTTTTACTAAAATTTCTCTTTTTTTTTGTAAATTCTATTTCTTCTTTTCAAGTTCTCCTTTTTTTTTGGGAAAATTAAGTAAAATTTATTTATTTTTTCAAACGTGACGAAATTTTGTTTATTTTTCCCCTCAAATTCTCCTTTTTTTTTAGGGGAAATTTTTTAAATTTTATTTTTACAAACATAACAAAATTTTTACCTTTAAATTCTCCTTTTTTTTGGAAATTTGTAAAACTTCTTTATTTTTAGAACGTGAAAAAAATTCTTTATCTTTCCCTTTAAATTCTCTTTTTTTTTTTGAAAATTTGTAAAATCTATTTATTTTTAACCTATAACATTTTAAATTCGGATAAATATAATTTTTTTTTCGTTCTTTGCAGAAAAAAGTGGTATTGATAATTTTTTTTTGAATTTTTTTATAAGTGCCCAAATTTTCGAATTATGAATTTTTAAAATATGGAAAAAAAATTTTCAATTTTTTTTAATAGAAAATAACGATTTTTTTATATATAAAGTAAAGAATAAAACAAAAATTTTCAATGATTTTAAAAAAATTGTTTGAATAATTTAATAATGAAATTAAATTATAGTTTCAAAAACGCGTGGTATTAATTTCCATCGTGAAAAATCATAATATAAATAACCTTGTCGCATATAGCGGTAGAAAATCAATGAATGGGAAAATCAATAAAACAGGTATAATGTTGTCAGTTGCACCTGTTCAAAAGTATAGACAGTGTGTGTTTTTATTACAAAAAATATATAATGGCATCATTTTCTTTAAATTTACAAAGACGCGTTGAATTAAGTTTAATTGCAACTGGTAAATTTGATGGTTCACATGCATGTTTAACGGCAGCCACTTCCGGTGGTAATATTATTGTTCACAGTCCTCATAGATCATCAGAAGAACTATTTGGAAATTCACAATCCGTCGGCCGTTTATCCTGGAGCGGTGAAATAGCAGAATTACATATTGGCCAGCAGGTTAATTAATTTTTAAATAATTATTCTTATTTTCAAAACAAAAAAAAAATAATAATAATAATATAATAACTATAATAAATAACTTTTTTTATTTTTTATATAAATGTTAAGAATATTAATAATAAAAAGAGTTAATAATAAATAATTTAAATTAATACACGGTTGATACAAAAATATTATTTTGTTTTTCCCTGATTTCCAGTCAAAATTAAAATTTTTTCCCTGAACATAATGAAAATATTTCAAAAGAGATTTTTAATAACAAACCTCAAATTGCACGACTTTTTTTATTTTTTTAAATTAAATTATTTAAAAAATAGGGTAACTGCACCAGTGGTGGATCATGCACCAGTGGTGGATCAACTGCGAGAAAAATGGTCATTTGTGTTTACACGTTTGTAAATAAATGAACCGCAAGTGTCGGTAATTGTTAAGAAAGTTATACAGATCAATATTACAATTTAAAAAATTTTTTAAATTCATCGCAAAGAAAGCAGGACAACAATTACTAAAGTGGTGACAGAAAACAAGAGTTTTCCTTAACATGTAAGTTAAGAGTATATTTTGGAATAGAAAGCTTTGGAGCCATTTTAGGACAATTTTTAATTCTTTTCACAATAGGAGGCATTTCGTTTCATCCCCATAGAGCCCTGAGAACAATATTTACGTCTGTAAGTAGCGCGTGTCCATTGTTTTCGGGTGATCCACGACTGGAACCAAAAAAGTAACAAAATCTAGTGGTGGATCAGTCCTACTTTTCGCCTGTTGACGCATTGTTTTATTGAAAATTTTATGAGTTAAATTTTAATTAACACTAATTCAAATGTTTATTAATTGTTAACACCTGGGGGTCGATTACGTAACTTTCCCACATCCCACATCTCACTTCCCACATTTTACATCCCACATCCCACATCTCACTTCCCACATTTTACATTCCACTTCCCAAATCCCACATCTCACTTCCTACATTATACATCCCACTTCTCACATTTTACATCCCACTTCCCACATCCCATATTTTACATCTCACTTCTCACTTCCCATATTTCATATCCACTTCCCACTTCCCATATTTCACATACCACATCCCACTTCCCACATCCCATATTTCACATTCCACATCTCACTTCCCACATTTCACATCCCACTTCTCACATTTCACTTTTCACACTTCACATTGTACATTACACTTTTCGTATCACGCTTCCCACCTTTTATATCCCACTTCTCACATCTCTCCCATTTCCCACAAGATGTTGGATGTGGGAAGTGGTATGTAAAATGTGGGAAGTGAGAAGTGGGATGTAAAATGTGGGAAGTGAGATGTGGGAATTGAGAAGTGGGATGTAAAATGTAGGAAGTGAGATGTGGGATGTAAAATGTGGGAAGTGAGATGTGGGAAGTGGGAAAGTTACGTAATAGACCCCCTGATTTCAAATTGTTAAATTTTTGATGAATTAAAATACCCAGAATTAATAAATGTTATTTATCATTGAAACTGAAGCTTTAAGAGTTTCTTTTTATTTATTACCAAAAATTCTAATAAAAAGATGATTAATTAATATTTAGTCACATTATAGTTATAGAAATGAAAGAGGAGGGGATATGGATAGGAAAGTGAATTTGAAAATCTGTCCGTAAAGCCTTATAAAAGTTGCAAAACGTCTCAGTCTCGTAATTTTAAAATGCAATGTTTTTTAGTATGATTTTTTAAGTGATCCACCACTGGAGCAATCTATAACCATGACTGGTGCAAACAGTGATCCAGAATAGGATCATTGAAAATTATCTTTGATGGAGCATTAAAGTAAACGTAGGTGTCAAAATTAAGTCTAACCTTGAAGGAAATGTCTATTGGAACTATCTGGTCCATAATACTATAAAGAATAACCTCGAATTTGTCTAAAAACAACCTATACAGAACTTCAAAGTCAAAATAAGAAAGTTAAGGGGCTTAACTGATCCACCACTGGTGCAGTTACCCTATATTAACTTGAATTGTTTGCAAAATTAATTATTTTCAATAATTTAAAACAAATTCTTCGAAAATTACATGATTAAAAATAGTTTTCAATTAAACATTCAATAAAATTAAATTTTTGTCTTATATTTTTTAAAAAAATCTCACCAATTCAAAATGAAAGTTTTAATTAATAATCTGAGGAAATTCAATTATTATTTCTAAAATTTTTCACTCGAACTCTTCTAAAATAAAATTATTTTTAAATTTTCTATCTAAAATTGAAATTTTTTGAATTATTTTATTTTAAACTAGCAAAATTAAACGCGCGCAAGCGCGCCAAATTGACTATTTAATTGTTTGTTATAAAGAAATTAAAGATTAATATTATCAATAATAATTTAATTTATTAGAATATTATTACATATTAAATGATAATAATGAAAATTATATGTTTACAGGCCTCGGATTATACGACTTTTTCCGACTTTTTTCAAAAATACAACTTTTATCGACTTATTTTAACAAAATGCGACATTTTTTTGAAAAAAAATGTAAATAAAACACATTTTTTTAGTATAAAATGTAGATCTTCTTCAGATCTTCTTCGATTCAATTATTTAACAAATTTTGAACTAAAATGATTCTTCACTAAATTAATTATTTTTAATAATTTTAATGAAATACATCACACATTCAATTATATCAAAATTATTTTTCAATTAAAATTTTTATGAAATTTAACAATTGTTTATAATTTAAAAAAAACAATATCACAATAAAATTGAATTATTTTTTAAAAATTTCAATTCAAAATAAACCAAAATTCAATTATTACAAGAAATTTTAATTTAAAATTAATTAAAATTCAATAATTATCAAAAATTTTCAATTTAAAAATTAATTATTTACCAAGTTTTCAATTTAAAATGAAATAAAAGTCGATTATTTTCTAAAATTTCTATTCAAAATTAATTATTTAAATTTTCAATCAAAAATGAACTTAAATTAAATTATTATCCAAAATTTCAATTAAAATTCAATTATTTCCCAAAATTTTCAATTCAAAATCAATTAAAATTCAATTATTTTCCAAAATTTCAATTCAAAATCAACTAAAATTCAATTATTTTCCAAAATTTCAATTGAAAATTAACTAAAATTCAATTATTTTCTATGATTTCAATTGAAATTCAATTATTTTCAAAATTTGCAATTCAAAATCAACTAAAATTGAATTATTTTCAAAATTTTCGATTTAAAATCAATTATTTTCCAAATTTTCAATTCAAAATCAATTATTTTCCAAAATTTCAATTCAAAGTCAACTAAAATTCAATTACTTTTCCAAAATTTCAATGGAAAATCAACTAAAATTCAATTATTTTCCAAAAATTTCAATTGAAATTCAATTATTTTCAAAAATTTCAATTCAAAATCATTTAAAATTCAATTATTTTGAAAAATTTTAATTGAAATTCAATTATTTTCTAAAATTTCTATTCAAAATTAATTATCCAAATTTTCAATCAAAAATGAACTTCAATTAAATTATTATTCAAAATTTCAATTAAAATTCAATTATTTCCCAAAAATTTTCAATTTAAAATCAAATAAAATTTCATTATTTTTAAAAATTTTAATTTAAAATCAATAAAAATTCAATTATTTTCCAAATTTTCAATTCAAAATCTACTAAAATTCAATAATTTTCGAAAATTTCAATTCAAAATCAACTAAAATTTAATTATTTTCCAAATTTTCAATTCAATAATTTTCGAAAATTTCAATTTAAAATCTACTATAATTCAATAATTTTCGAAAATTTCAATTCAAAATCAACTAAAATTCAACTAAAGTACAATTATTTTCCAAAATTTAAACTGAAATTCAATTATTTTCCAAATTTTCAATTCAAAATTAACTAATATTCAATTATTTTCCAAAATTTGAATTCAAAATTAATTGAATTTTCAATAATTTGAATTTAAAAGCATCTAAAATTTAATTATTTCTAAAATTTTCCATCGAAAAATTTTTTTTTTTAATTTAATAATTTCAATTATAACTCTAAGAAAATTCAATTATTTTTAACTATTTTAATAATATTCTTTGAAAATTCAACTATCTGAAACTATTTTTCAATTAAAAATGATTTTCAAATTATTGTATTTTGTCCGCATTTTCTAATAAATTTTTAGTGAAATCATCTAAAATTTTAATTACAAAACACTTAAAGTTTCAATTAATTTCAAAAATCTCAATTTTAAATCTTTGAAAATTCAATTAAATTTAAAAAATGTTTTCCAAAAATTGTTTGATAAATTATTTTTAGTTCTGTAAAATTTAATAATTGTTTGAAAATTAACAATATCTTTTGAAATTTAATTATTTCTAAAAATTTCAACTTTAACCCTTCGAAAAGGATTATTATTAAAAAAAAAATTTTTTTATTTAAATATCTGTAAAATATTTTTGTTAAAATAAAAAACAAATCCACTTTTTTTTGGAATATAAATCGACTAAAACGACTTTTTTGTGTCTTTAAGTTGATTCGAGGCCTGTGTTTTTATAATTACTATTTAATAGGTATTCGTTGGCCCCTGGTACCTTAAAAATTAATTTTTAAAAATAAATTTTTTTCAAATTACTATCTTGTACGAAATTTCCTGGCGCATCTTTTTTCTCATCATAAATTTTTTGTATAGAATTTTTGAATGAATATACAACTTTAAAAAAAATTTCGTTGGTAAACGTTGTGTACTTCAGCTTCGTGAATTGAATTTTCGAATTTGGAATTTTAAAGAAACTTATTCCGAAATTTGGAAACACAATTATACAACTTTGGCAAAAATGAGAAAAAGGACAGAAGGACAGAAGGACAGACCAAGCATTTTATTATTATATAATATTTTAATCAACATTTTCGAAAATTCAATTATTTCAAACATTTTTCAATTCAAAATTCCTCAAAGTTTAATTATTGTTTAATGATTATAAAATATCTAAAGAAATTCCAATTTACGAAAATTTTAATTAAAAATCTCCTGAAATTCAATTAGTTCCAAAAATTTAAACAATTGCTCTTTCAAAACATAATTATTTCTAAAATTGCTATAACTTTAATTTCTTTTTCAATTAACTATTTCGAATAACTTCAATTAAATTTTTCAAAAATTCAATTACATAAAACGTTTTTTAATTATTAATTCTTTAAGATAAAATGTTTGTTTATATGATTTTTAAAAAATTTCAATAATTCAAGTTTATTAAAATTTTAATATTGAGAAAATTTCAAAAATCGAAAATTCAATTTTTTAAAACATTTTTCAATTTAAAATTCTCTATAATTCAATTATTTCTAAAAATTTTATTTAAAATTCTTTGCTAAATTATTTTTTTTAAATTACTTTAATACAGTTTTTCAACAATTCAGAGAAACAAAAAATTTCAATTAAAAATACTAAAAAATTCTGTTATTCTTTAAAATTTGTAAAAAAAATGTTAACAATGAAAATTTTTATGAAAATTTCAATTTAAAATCTTCTGAAATTTAATTACTTCGAAAAAAAATTTTAACTCGAACTCTTTCAAATTCAATTAGTAATTAAATAATTAATTGAATGCAAATTCAATTGAAAATTTTGTTCCCAAATTTTTATCTATATAATTTTTTGTTTAATTAATTATTTTAACAGTTTTAATCTAATTTTTCTAAAACTTCAATTATTTAAATCATTTTTTAATTAATGTTTATATTTACAATAAAATTATAATTTTTGAAATTTCAAAAAATGCAATTATTTCTAAAAATCTTAACTCTAACTCTCTCAAAATTCAATTATTTGGAACATATTTCAATTGAAAATTCTCTAAAATTCAATTATTGTCTGAAATTTGTAAAAAAAATTCATTAATTCAAATTTATAAAAATTTCAATTGAAAATCTTCTCAAATTCAATTAATTTCTAAAAATTTTAAATTAAACTCTTCCAAATTCAATTAATTTAAAAATTTTAATTAAAAATCTTCTGAAATTTAATTATTTCACAAATTTTCATTTAAAATTAATTTTTTTTTAATATTTTAATTAAATTTTTTCGAAAATTTAATTATTTAAAACATTTTTTGAAATTCTGAATTCAAATAATGTGCATAAACGAGACTTGAAAAACTTTCTTTTTTTTTTTTTTAATGTAACTTTAAATTATTTTTGAAAATAATGTTTTGAAACTAAATTGAAATCATGAAAATTTGTTTCATTTTAATTCGGTGGTTTAAAAAGAAAAATTCTTGAAAATACTTCTGTGCAACATTCTTATTAAGAAATTAATAAATTTTTTTTTAATTTCTAATAAAAAAAGATTGTTAATAATAATAAAATATTTATCAACTAATTAAATTTATTGAAAGTAAAGAAATGGACTTTTTATACTTTTCTTATAATGTAAATCAATTAAAATGACTTTTTTTTTCAAAAGTTAATCCGAGGCCTACAATTATAAAAATGTAAGACAATAATTTTTAAAAGCAAAATTTTGAATTGAAAATTTAAAAAATTATTATTTTTAGTATCATTTTTAGAAATTTGATATTTTTCCAGTACTTTTTATAAAATTTTGTTCACTTTTCAATGATTTTCCTGATCCTTGGCAACCATGTTGTAATAATTAATAAATAATGATTATTTTGCTTTTATAGGTCACAGCATTATGCATTGGACGACTTGAAGAAGATGAAAGAGAATTTCTTCTTGTTGGAACACATACACATATTCTTGCTTATCAAATTGAAGACAATGCAGATCTTTTTTATAAAGAGGTAAAAAAAAATTAATTTCTCTATATATAAATATTTCTCTTTCAAAATGGCTTAAAACTTGAATGACAATAATTTATTCAAGAAAATTATATTATACTAAGTTTTATTAAAATCTCTCTTTAATTTCAATTTCGAATTTTGAAACAGAGATATATTATACAAGTAAATATGTCTTTATTTTTGTTTTAGTTTCTATTTTTTTTTTTTTAATTAAAAAATTTTTTTTTTACGAACACGATAAAAAATAAATTTTTACGAAATTCGAAGAATAACTTTAACTAATTTGTTAAAAAAAAAAAAGCATGAGGAAATAAAATTTTTACGAAGACAAGGAGAATGGGAAAATTTGAGATGCATGAATATTTAAAATTAATTTGTTACAATTTACCATTTAATAAATATTCATATATATATAATTTAATTTTAGTGAAATTTTTAATTTTCCAAAATTATTATTTATCAGAAATTTCATTTAAACAAATTTCTATATTTAGAAAAATTGAAATTAGAAATTCTGATAAAAAAAAATTTGGTGAAAATTCTATCTATAATGAAATTCTATTTTCTAGCAAATAAAAATTTTAACAAATTAATTTTAGGCATTATTTCAACGAATTTTCTGATTAACGAATGTCAACGAGTGTTTTGTCATTCAGAGTAAATTAAATTTTAAAAAAGCAAATTTAATAGTATTTTGTCTTTATTTTAAATATTCGAATTACAAAGTAGGGGAAAAAAGTTGTAGATTTTTTTATATATTGTCTATTAAATAATTTTTTTTTTTTTTTTAATAATTGAATTTTGAAATCTCTTCACTTTTTGGTCTGTTTGACCAACTTTAAACCATCCAGTCGTGAACAAAATTGATTTGTAAAATTCAATGTCTCATCCCCTTCGCTTTTCACATCTTTTTTCTTCATTACAGCGAAGATTACGACAACATTGTTTGTCATTCTGACACTGTAAATTAAATAACAAATTAATTTGAAATCATCACTAAATTTCAATTGAAAAAAATTAATTTTTTAAAATAATTTTTTTTTAAAATAATTAATTAATAAATTTTTATTACTCCTTGTCTCTCTCGTAGGCAATCTTCAGGACTGCTTCTTCTCACACATTTTTTTTCCCTGTCATTGCATAGAAGATTACGGCAGCATTGTCGATTTTTATGACACTTGAAATTAGAAATTATTTTTTTAAAATTACATATGTGTTTTTATAAGTTGAAAAAAATTTGTTTTCTTTAAATTTTTTTATAAATTTCCAAAGTACAATAAAATATATAAATAAAAATCATATAATATATAAAATAAAATTTAAAAATAACGATTTAGGGTTGATTATTATTAAAAAAAAATTATTTACACGTTCACCAACGCCTGCACAATCATGATTAGCATCTACGACTAAGACGAAAAGTCCAATGCACAATAGTATGAGTGTGTATTTCATCTACATATGTAATTAAATATTAAAATTTAAATTAATCAAAAATTTTTTAAAATCTTTAAATAATTTTACCTTTTTTTGTTATTGCTCAGATTGTTAGTCTTCTTGAAAACAAAACTTAAAATTGATGTTGAAAACAAATTTCTCGCAATTTATATACTCACGAAAAATTGACAATTTTTTAAATTATTATATTATTGTTTTTTTTTTGAAAAAAAAGGTTTTCCTGTTTTAAAAATGAAATGTTTATTTAAAATTTTTCCCCTTCGGAATTTTCAGTATGCATTTCAGTTGTTAAATTAAAATTTATATTTAATTATTATTTTTTATATTTTCACTTTTATTTCGTTTTATTTTTAAATTACTTTTATCCTTGTTTACTTTTTGCCAAACACATTTTTATATAATTATAAAAATTTTGTTTTTCGAAATAATAAAATGTTTTAAAACATTTTTTTACTAATCAATTTTATTGTATATTATTTTCATTATTTTTATAAAGTTAAAAAAAATCATTGTTTATATTTTATGTTAAATTATCCAACAACAGGTGTAAATAAGTATTTACTTACATAGTAACGTTTAAAATTAAATTATACAAAAAACTTTTAAAAAAATAATTTTTAATTCTTCATACGGTGAATGGGACTTTATTGGCAAAAAAAATTTTAGGTTATGTTTGTCACTTTAGAGTTAAAATACACAAAGATAACCCCAAAAAAATATTCTAAAAATGAACGTTTGTTGTGTTTTAAATATAGAAAAAGTCGATTTATTTTTTTCAAGAGTGAAATCTGATACATTTTGATGACCCTGTATAATAAATATTATACCTATAATTATAAACAATATATAAAAAAAATTAAAACAGCTTTTACAATTAATTAATTTTTGTTTTTATGTTACATAATGGTTTATGACTTAAATTTTTGAAGGTGAAATAAAAATAAATCTAATATTATTATAATAAATTTATTATTCTAATATTGAAAATTCTTAATTTCAATTTTATTGTAACATTATTTAAATTATAAAAGATTCTTTATTTCAAAAATAATATTTATTCTCAACGAAATATTATAAATTTTTGTCATCTTTTTCGATGGTGGGTAAATTAAAGCGTTATTTTTAATTTCTTAAATATAATTTCGAGTACAAAAATATAAGTAGTAAATACGACAAATTAAAAAAAAAAAAGAATTAAAATTTCCACTTTTTTTATCACGAAAATAATGAACACGCCATTGATAATTTTCGAAGTTCGCTTACTGAAAGATATTGTAAAATTTGTTGGATACCTCTTCAGGACAAAATGTAATTTTATAATTCTTTTCAATAAGATGAAACATATCATTTACGCACATATCAATTAATTCATTTCTTTGTTTACCTTTACTAACACGTATCTTAAAAAAGTCAGCATAAATTGGAAATTTCTCGATCGATAATTCTAAGCTATTTAATAATCTCTCGTTTCTTATTTTAATCGAAACTTTCTTAATAGATTTCATTAAAATATCGTAAAAAGTCACATTTGATTCGTCGATAATTTTTGTTTTTTGCATATTTGGTTTGGTTTGGTTTTGTTTAGTGGCCTGTTGTCCCCGAGTTTTGCATATTTATTATCTGTTTTTGACATTCATTTCGCCAATCGAGATATTCGGAGGATTGATTATAAAAATTGACTTTCTTTTTCTCCGCTTCTTGATCGCAAGGAAGTAGCTCTAGTCGCGCAACATACATCTTTAAAATATTGATTGGAGCAGAGCGTATAAAGTTCAAAAGATAATGGATATCCTCAATTTGATCGATCACGTGTACAGTTATCCAATAATTTGTGCTCGAAAGAGATATATTTCTGTAATCATAGTATTCCATAATAACATTTGCAATTTTTGAACTAATTTTTGGGTTGCAATATGACAAATTATCTAACACACCATTGACTTTATTTTCTTTTAAATAATTCAGCAGGCATCTAATAATTTCGGGACGAAATTCTCCTTTTTCATTATTTTTCTCGTCATTTATATTCCCTTCCTTTGATATTTCTTTTGAGTTAAAACAAGATAAATTCTGTTCATCATCGCTAGAAACTGTTAATTTAATGGCATTTATTATTAATTTTTTATAATTATCTTCGTCGATTTTATTAACTCCGGCAATTAATAAAATTTCTGTAATTTTTAACAAATTTTGAAACATTAAAGGAGTAACACACGTTTCATTATAGCGTTGTCTGGTAATCTTTGTAGTGCATAATGAAGTGAAGTCAAATCCGAAATCCTGTTTACCATTGGATTAGCACCGACATCTAAAAGAAATTTAACCATATTTGCATGACCTGCAGCTGCTGCAAAATCCAAGGGGGTGATTTTATGTTCATCTGTTTGTAAATTAATGTTGGCACCAAATTTCAAGAGCAATTCTACTAAGCGTGTATGCTTGAATGTTGCTGCCACATGAAGCGGATTTAATCCAAGAAAATTTTTAGTTGAAAAACCCGCTGTTAGTAGAATTTTAAGGATTTCTTCGTTTTCATTTTCAACAGCAATATAAACTGCACATCCGCAAGATCTAAGATCAGATTTTACTTTACTCGCTTCTTTTTTTATGATTTCTTCAACAATTTCTACTTGACTCGCTCGCGCACAGCTGAATGAAGTTCAGAATCACATGGACATGTTTTTGCAATTATTGTTGAATTGCATGTTAATAAATATTTCCAAACTGCCAAAGACAAGTGCTTCTTCAAGGACAGGTTTACGGCTTACTTTTGCGCCGTTTTCTATCAAGTGTTTTACAACATCTAAACGTTTATTTAATTTAGTGGCGACATAAAGTGGTGTTTCTCCAAATTTACTTGAAATATTTATATCTGCACCATTTTTTAAAAGAATATCAACAAGCTGAATGTTATTTACTTCAGTGGCGACATGAAGTGGTGTTTCTCTTAAGTGATTTGCAATATTTACATCGGCACAATTTTTTAAAAGAATTTCAACAAATTGAATGTTATTTAATTTAGTGGCAACATAAAGTGGTGTTCCTCCATATTGACTTGAAATATTTACATCTGCACCATTTTTTAAAAGAATATCAACAAGCTGAATGTTATTTACTTCAGTGGCGACATGAAGTGGTGTTTCTTCAATTTTATTTGCAATATTTATATCGGCACCATTTTAAAATGGTGGATTCGATTTGCGTAATGTCTACTTAACTAAGCGGACTTTAGGTAGACATTAGGTAGACATGTAAAAAAACGTATAAAAAAGCTATTAATCGACTTACGAGGGGGAATTTACTCAGGTAGTCAAGTGTACACTCTTCCTGTAATACTTGTGTAATAACGTGTAATACCGTGTAATAATGCATTATTACGGTGCTGTAATATCTCTGTAATAATGTGTAATACTCTGTAATTACGTGTAATAACCCTACTAAAAATAAAGTCAGGATAGTTCACAAAACTGGTCAGACTGCCTGACCATTTTAATCCAGTTTTCTTACGTTTCTGGATGAATTTGGTCAGAAAATGACTAAAATTGGTCAGGGTATTGCTCAAAATGGTCAGGATCCCCTCCTCTCTATTAGCCCCGCCCATAGCTGTGACCATTTCTCACGTAAATCCTGACCATTTGTAATATATATCCTGACCATTTTGTGAACAACTTTTGACTTTTTGTGTCCATATTTGAATTTTTTCTGACCCTTTCTCACCAGTTATTTTACTACTACTACTACTACTACTGAAGTTAAAATAAATAAATATTGCGTTTCAATGTTCAACATTTTTTATTAAATTAAATTCCATTAAATATTTATACAAAATAATTATTACATTACTTTAGATTAGGGTTACACATAATAATAATAAGAAATAAAAGATTTTACATTTTTCTTAACAAATTGCTTGGTGGATAAACAAAAATGCTATTTCAGACTTGTCATGGAAACCATATTACTTTGAAAAAGAAATTATATATAGTTATTCATTTATTTAAATTTTATTATATAATATAATAATGATACTTTAGGAATTATAATTCTCTAATTTTATTTTTAATTGTAAAATTTTGATTTTTAATTTTATAATGAACTTTCTTTACTTTTATTTGAACTATTATGTACTGATGGAAAAAATGAAAGAAAGTAAATGACATTACTCGAACCGCAGTAAAAAGGCTTCAATTAAAAATATTATTATCTCGTATTCCCTAAAATTTGAAATTTATTTATTCTACTTAATATCAAAAATTTTCTTTCTCACTACCCTTAAATTAGATAGAACATTAGAAAATAAATTCCGTAAAAGAGAACACAATTATGATTTTTTCATTTCCAAACAATTCGTTTTCTAAAGTCAATAAACAGGAAATTTTCTATTCCAAAAGTAGAATTCATTTATAATTTTTAAAATTTTTTTTAATGCCATAAGCAAATAATTAAAGTTTATTTCTATAATATAATAGATTTTTAGTTATTTAAATAAATTTTTATCTATTCAATTTAATTTTATTTCTGTTTGATTTCAAAAAAATAATTTTGTTATTTTATTTCTAAGTTTAAGTACATAATTGGTTACTCTCACAGACTTATATTCTTTTTTTCATTTTTCTCAAAAGGAATTAAAAAAAATAGAAATTAGTTATTTCTATTACATATGTAACATAAAAAATATCAGAGAATTTCTAATATCAAATTTAATTTTTTAATCAGCCTTATTATCGAGATGTCATATAATTTCCAAATGTTAGATAAAATAGTATAATTTATATACCATTTTCTAAACTACATGCTATATCCACCATTAGTCTGAAATATTTCTTCATTAAAATAACTTACGTAATACTTATTAACTAAAATATACTACATCGACAGTTCGTTTTTATAACAAAGAAATAGAAAATGACTTTACCGACTCCTGGAGAGGGAGTACGAGTAACATTGTTACTATGATAACAATTATTGCAACAAACTGACATTGAAACAAGATTGTGGGCTTAGCTTTAAACAAATTTCATATAAATTTCCTAACTTTTATTTTCTAAATAGCAATAATTGCTATCATAGCAACTTTGATACTCGCAATCTCTCTCCTGGTTTGAGTCGATTAAACGCACACGATATATAAATATTATTTATATATATTATATATATTTATATATACCATATATACCATATACCATATATATTTATATACCATTTACATTGTATTAAGGATGTACGTACGTGCGGTACGTGAGCTAATTTCTTTGCTTAAAATAAAGATATCTAGATAAAATTTTATATATATATATATATATATATATATATATGAAAAGTCTTATCTTGAGATCTTTATTTTATAGTATTTAGAAAAACAAAGTTTTCTAATTTTTTAAAATCACGCACGTACATACTAAACAGTACAATTATAAACGGGGACCAATATTGGCAACCAACTTTTTATTGCCTAGTAATTGTTGCCATTTTGATTCCACTGCTAATAATTTTTTTCGCGGCCTTTTACATAAATTTTCTTTTTCTTCGAATTTTGCTGTCCTTTTTCTTTGTATAATTTCCTGTTCGTCTGGCTCAACAATTTGCAGTCCATCTATTGAATATTATAAAACATAATTAATTTGAATGTTATCATATTTTAAATAAATTTCAAATTTTACATGTCAGGCATTCTATTTAACGTAAATTTATGTAACAACTTTTAAAAATTATTTTGGCAGCTTTAAAAATTTTGCAAATAGGCACAACATTTTTTTTATAATACGAATTAAAATTATAAATTACTTTATCAATTTCAATTTAAATCATTGAGATTCGTTGATTAAATGAAATATTTCCTTTGAAAAAGAACTAGGACTTTGGGTTTACGTATTGTTTATGTACTTTATTCTATACCTTGTTGATAAACTGGTTCCATTTTTTCGAATTCATCATCAAAGGATTCATGCATTTCTGATTCTTGCATTCCTCTAATTAGTTCTTCATCAAGTTCATTGTGAAATATTTCGTCAAATCTGTTTTGCAATTTAAAGTTTTCATTATGTTCTTCTATATATTCTTGTCCTTCTCCGTCGTTGTTCTGTTCTTCTTCCTGCCTTCTTTCTATTTCGTTCTGCTCTTCTATTTCGCTGTCTAACTCGATATTTCTTTCTTCATTTACAGCTTGATTTGTTGATAATTGTTTTGGCACATTTTTTTTTAAATGTCTGTTTTTATTTAAAAGTGATGTTCTCTTATAATTTATATATCTAAAGAAGAATTTTGACTCCTTATCAAATACTTCGGAAGTCCATCTTTGTTCTTCAGCCCATTCAGAAAATCCAACTAAAAATGAAAAATAGTTTAATAAAAATATTTTTTGATATATTGTTTTTTTACAAAACTTGCAAAAATTCGTAATTTTAAAAATTATTTTCTTTAATTTTTGAACATTTATAATTTTTGGTTCAAGAAAAAAATAATTTATGAGCTGTTGTTATGTTGAACGACACTGAATCGAAAATTATTTTTAATTTTGTTAATTATAGTATAGGTCCCCTGCATTCTTAGTTAGTAAATATATTTAAAATATACCAAAATAAAAAATTTATTTATTTATTATTTCTGTATTTAAAATATACAAAATCTTACCATAAACTGCATGTAATTTGCTTTCCTCTAGTCGCGGTTTTTTAGTTACTTTAGATTTGTTATTGGCCTTGCCGTGAACGGAATGTGTTTTTAGTACTTCGGCACCAAAAACTAATTCCGCTAAATTGCCGATAAATACTGATGGCTTTCTTGTCGAAATTTTTAAAAGATTATATTTGTCTTTATTGACACCAACACGGTCGTTTAAGAAAATCTAAAAAAATATATTTTTATAATATAGCTAATTATTAACACCAAAAAAATTTAAATATATTTTATTTTAAACAATTTATGCAATCACTTTTAAATGTCATATATTGGAATGCATCAATATTTCCTACATTTAACTTAATAGATTTTTTGCATTGTTGAATTTGAAACAATCGAATTTATATTTAGCAAAATTTACTGAAATCAGCTTTTATTAAAGAAAATTTTAATTTGAACTAATTTCTATTTAACACAATTCTCATTTAACAAAAAAATCTGTTTAGATGAAATTGTGAGAGAATTTCTATTTCACCGTAAATCAATTTAACTCAATTTTTACTTGCCAAAATTTAAGATTCAACGCCGCTTTCTTATAAGTTAAATGTGTGAAATATTCATGGGTCTCCATATATTTCCTAAATATCCGGATGCTATGATAATACCATAGAATATATTATATTCTAATGCAATAAAATATATTATAGAAATGGAATATATTATAATACTTTCATTATATCCCCAGTAAAAAAAAGTATTGGGAGTGAGGAAAAAGTATAGGCACATAGCTTAGTCCCTATGCGATTTGGCGTGAAAACCGTATAGGGACGTTACGGCCAATACTTTTTTCTTACCGTGAATACTTTTCACCTGGATTGTTTGCATTGATGTTTGTTGATCAAAGTTTGCATTATAAATGAATAGAATGCATGTTCCGAAGTGTCAAAATGCCGATTTGCAATAAGAAATGTGAAATTTTATTAAAAAGAAAAACTGTGAAATATGACAAATTTATCGACAATTTTATCATGTGAGTAGTGCTCGTATGGTAAATTTATCATATGAACAGTACTTACATGATAAAATTGTCGATAAATCGGTCATATTTCACATTTTTTCTTTTTAATAAAATTTCACATTTCTTATTCCAAATCGGTATTTTGACACTTTGGAACATGCATTCTATTCATTTATAATGCAAACTTTGATCAACAAACATCAATTTAAACAATCCAGGTGAAAAGTATTCACGGTAAGAAAAAAGTATTGGCCGTAACGTCCCTATACGGTTTTCACGCCAAACCGCACAGGGACTAAACTATGTACCTATACTTTTCCCTCACTCCCAATACTTTTTTTTACTGGGTCACATTATGTTTGATTCAAAATTTCTGCACAATAGAAACGTTTGCCCTATTGTATTGAAATTTAAATATTTATTTTTTAAATAATTTTTAAACATTTTTAATAATATCAAACTTACTATATGCGATGAAGTATTTTCACTATCAAAATTTTCTTGATTAATTAATGCCTCTTCCAATTCTGTAAAAATAGTAAAAATAATTAAAATACATTTAAATAAAATGTATGAAATACAATAGAAAAAATTTTTCTTTAACGTACCACATATTTTTTTTTTGTTGAGGCAATTTTCTTCTTGAAGCTTTTTCATTTCTATTTTTGTCTCTTTTAATGCTGGAAAAAATAAAGTTACTTAAAATATGATAACATTTAATACATGTCTAAAAAATTTTTCTACATACTCTTAATTTCCTTTTGCTGAAGAAAATTGTCTTCCTGCAGTTTTTTTATTTCTGCTTTGGCTCTTTCGTAAAATGTGATGGCATGCTTTCCTATTCTTTTTTCTTCTTCTAATTCTTTTTTCAGTATTGAAATTTTTTTAACTAGTAGATGATTTGAATTGCACGTTTCCAATGTTTCCTGTGTCTGTAAAACAATTACTATATATTAATCTTTAGAGCATAAGGAGTGTGCGTAAAAATTTCATTATTATGATTATTTTGCTTGAGCGAAATAAGTAATTTAACTTTAATTAAACATTTAAAAAAAGTGATTTAAACATTCCCAATTTCTTACATTAGATTGCTCTTGACTACTCTCCTCATCTTCTTGATCCATTATTTCCTCCATAAATTTTCTATTCATGTCTTTCTCCGTTGATGATTTCTTTTTTTTATTTCTCTAAAAAATAATTAAATTTTTAAAAATTCAGATCACATGTAAACATTGCGTTGTCACCAATCAGTGAAATTTCACTGGATGGTATACTTATAACTAGTTAGCAGTGAAATTCACTGATTCAAATTTAGAGAGTTAGTTTACATGCTACCTGCTCTCTTAATTTAAATAAATAAAAAGTGGCTGATTCCCAGCTGTAAGTATAACACTTTTTCAAACAGCGTATAGTGAAATATCATATATTTGCTGGTATATACGCTATTTGGATTAGTCTCATACTTATACCTCGGAATCAGCGACTTTTCACTGATTCCAGCTATTAAAATCAGTGCCATTTAACTGATTTGCATTAAAAATAACTGATTCTCCAGTGAAATAGCACTAATTGTCAGTGAAAACCACTAATTCAAATAGCTGGAATTTAGAGACTGGTTGACATTAGTGACATATTCAGTGATTCAAATTTTGAGATTAATAAATAAATATAAACTACAAAAGTAAAAATTCAAAGATTTTATATGAACTTGCAAGTATAAACAAGTTTTTCATGTATATCTTATTACAACACGTAAAAAAAGAAGTGTCATATTAAGCTAAGATACTAATAATGTCTCAAAATTGCCTCAATTTTAGTCAATATTAATGTTTCAGACATTAAATAAGAAACTCTTCATTGAAGAGGAAAATATTAAAGTACAGCAAAACATACGTATACCGAAATCGCAAAAATCGAATTTCCGCTTATATATGTCGGTTATTCTCTTTAGTCGCTTCAAATTCGATATACGTGGGTTTACTGCATATACATATTTAAATTATTAATAGTTTACAATTATCTTTAAAAAGTTTATAATGTTTTATTATTATTAACAATTTATTATCACATGATCTTTTATATGCAATTGACTGTTTTTTCACTTTTGAAAAATAATTTTTTATTGAAAAATATTATATATATTTCGTTCTTTAAATTAGTACGTGTCAGTTTAGTTTAACTTTTACTTTCTTAGAAACTTGATAATGAGACTCTACTTTTTAGGCAACAAAAAACCTTCGTTACTCCGATCGAGTTTTGTTTATGTTATTCCGTCTGATATGAAATCTCGATATGTCAAAGCTCTTGGAGCACAAAGATACCAAAAACACACACATGTAATAAAAAAAATTAAATTTTTGAAATGAACTAGAATATATCGACAAGAGTTACGGCAAATTTAAAAGTTTTAAATATATTTTACTACATCTTGCTATATTAATAAGTTTTAATAAGATAACTAGACGATTCGTAGAGTTTAATTGGATACATAATTAGAATAATTGCAGTTTAAATCAAACATTTTATATATATATATATATATATATATATATAGACCATTTGGCTTTTGCATCTCCGATTTTTTTAAACTATTTGTTTTCTTTTAGTACTTGCTGAAACAAGCTTTCATGATTTTTTTCAATTTTTTTTATAAAGCCATTAAAGAGATATAGACTTTTGAAAAACCGAGAAAAATCAAGATATTATTTTTTGAAATGCTTATAACTTGGTCAATAATTTACCAAATTGGACTTTTTTTTACAAATATTTTTGTTTTTAAACGTACTTTTCAAAAAAAAATATCGAAAAAATTTTTTAAATAAATTTACTATAAGTTTATGAATTTTGAAACATAAATTGTCATTTTTAACAATGAGTGTACGGATAATTTTTTTTCAAAATTTTTTGTCAAAAAGTGACACTGATTTAACAAATTTTAAGCCTAGTCCGATAATGGGATCTCAATAGGAACTATTTATTATTTTTTTTCATAAAACGTTTTATTTGATTAAATTAATTTTTCTAACTAAAGAAATTTTTTCTCATAATTTCAAAAAGATGTTTGAATTTCAGTCAGTCAGTATTGCACCAACATTGGGTCAATACTGGAATACCTTTACTGGGATAATTATACTGGTGCAATACTGATACAGTATTGCGCCAATACCGCGCCAACTCCGGCACACCAAGTGTCGGCAAATATAAATGGCGCGGTATAGCGCCAGTTGTCAGTAATGGCACAATACGGAAATTTTTCATTGGGGAAACTAACAAAAAAGAGTCTTGAAAACCCGAGAATCTCGCGAGAAAAATAATGAAAACTAACTCTTTCCTTTTATGAAAGGATAGAGTGTCGTGGTATGAAATAATAAATATAACTGAGAAACGATATTATTAATATATTGTATATTAATATATATTATTAAATATTGTATTGAAAAATACTAACCTTTGAAACCTCATTGTTGTCAATGTCCTCAAAACTATCACTATTCGTCAAATCAGAAATATCATTCATAAGATGAGCTGGGGGGGCTGCACATCTTTTAATTTCCAGGGAAGTTTGGTTGTCTACAAAAATTTAGAAAAAGCAATACGTTTATGTAATATTAAACAATGCATAATATAAAATAGTATATTACATAATGTTTATAAAAATTGAAGTTAAATTTTAAACAGGAGTGTTAAAAAATTATTTAAATCGTGTTAAACTAAATTCAATTTAAACAAATTACATATAGAAAAGTACAATTTTTAAGATCTAATAATTATGAAATGAAAAGGCCTAAGAACATAGAAAGAATTAGTTTTAACAAGATGCTTATATATTATAATTTTTAAGCTAGATTATTTTTAAAATTAGGTATTTTTATTTTATATTCCAAAAACAAGCAGAATGATTACTCAGCAAAGTATAGTACTTTTTTTAATATTTTTCATCTACATCAATGGTCAAAATATAATAATGGAATAAAATATATGATAATAATAAAATACACTAGAAAATAAAACTCTAATAAAATATTGTAAATAATTACCTGAAATTTTTAAAACCACTGCTTTTCTCTTTTCAATAATTTCTTCACCTTCACTATTTACAATTGGTATTTTTACTTTAAAATACTTCAACTTTAATTCTGATTGATTTTTGTTCCACTCTTCAACTTTAAATTTTTTAATATTTTTCACGGGAACAATATACTGCTCCCTTTTTTCATCTTCCACTTTAGCATAAAATTCCGTTGACGAAATATTCATCTTATAACAACTTTCTGCACTCCGCTTAATTTTTTGGACTTGCGACTGGTCTTTTCAGTACGACTGTCCGGACAGAACTACCAAGACTTCGCAACCAAAGAACTGTCAAGTGGTACTATCAGTGAGCGCACTATGCATTAAGCGTTTGATTTTTATTTGGAAAATTTTTCGAATAACGTTGAATATCTCAAAAACAAAAAAGGGCATTTGGAAAATTTGTATACCCCTACAGCATCTAAACTTGCAGCAATATTGCCAAACTTGCCTCAATTTTGCTAATATTTCTTAAATATTACAGAAACATTGGAGACATAAGAGTAAGTTTAGCAATATCCCGAGTCGAAATTTAAAGTCGAATCAAAGTCTACTAAGACCGACTTCTTTTAGGACCTAGGAGAGTATATGTACACTGAGAAAAATGATCTATTAAACATAAAACTAATTTCCTTTTAAAGCGATTCCTTTAATGGTTAAGAGAATTAGTTTTATTGTAAAAGGAATCTTTTAAATTTAAAAATGTTAGACTTTTATTGACAAAACAAAAATAATTTAAAGAAAAAAAGATTTCTTTTGTTCTTTAAATGAAATCCTTTTATGGGTCAATCCACTGAAAATCATCAAATGATGGTTGCTGTCATATTTTTAAAAAATTTAGTTTTAATATATGTGAAACTAGATGAATTTCGAAGTTCATTGGTCATAATATAATCGTGCAAATTTTATTTCGTTTAAAATTATTATTAATTAAAAGTAAGAGGTTCACGTCGTGATTTTGTAATCTTAAATGTTGCACTTTTTTAGGAAACTTTATTATTCAAAAACTATAAAATATTTGATATTATAATTCACCAGAAACATAAATCAATTTATTCTACATGAAAAATGGTGAAATTATTGTATAATTATTTTATTTTTAGATATTGATTCGAATTTTAAAATTTTTCCAGTTACAAAAGTTTTACATTTTTTCAAAGCTTGTAACTTTTTTCTGTAAGCTTCAAAAATTTAGGATTTTGCACATATTTTAATATTAATATAATTTTCCTGCTATTAAAATTTGGCAGAGGTATTTTCCTTCGTTTTGGAAATAATTTTGAAAAATTTTTACATAAAAAGGTTAATTATATTAATATTAAAATATGTGTGATCCTTAAATTTTTTGAAGATTCCAGAATAAAGTTACAAGCTTCAAAAAATTGTAAAACTTTTGTAACTGGAAAAATTTTTAAATTCGAATCAATATCTAAAAATTACTTACTTATACAATAATTTCATTTTATATAATAATAATAATTATAATATAATATAATAATAATTTTTTATTAGAATAAATTGATTTATGTTTCTGTTAAGTAATAATTATATCAAATATTATATTATCCAGTGTGCATAATTTTAAATTTGTTCGTAAGATGTCGTTAATGAATATACAATAAATATTATATAGTTTTTTTAATAATAACGTTTCCTAAAAAAGTGCAACATTTCAGGTTACAAAATCACGACGTGAACCTATTACTTTTAATAAATAATAATTTTAACGAAATAAAATTTGCTTTGTCATAAAATTATGTTTCACATATATTAAAACTAAATTTTCTAAACATATGCCAGCAACCATCATTTGTTGATTTTTAGTGGAAGAGAAAAAGGAGAGAAAAAGAAGAGAAAAAAAGGGAAAAGGCAGAAAAGAAGAAGAGGAATAAAAAATTTTTTTTGTTAAAATCTTTTTCTTATGGAATTTGTGTTGTTGAGGAAAAACATGACCAATTTTGTCACATGTGTTTCAGATTAGAGGCTCAATCCTCGAGCCTTTTCAAAAGAATGTATTTCTATGCATTCGATAATTTATGACGTCAAGGAACATACAGTATTGTTTAATGTTGCATTCCTTTTTAAATGTAATATTTTATATTTATAAATAATATTATTTTACGATAATTTAAAAACATTTAGTTTTTGAATTATTATATAATAATTATTTAATTATTTACAAATTATTTAATTTCAATAAATATTTATTTGATGATACTTAAATAACCAATTATTTTAATCAAATAAATTTGTTTCCCACACTCAGAGAAATATTTTATTTGAACCAAATATAATTTATTTGAATTAAGTAAACGTATATTTGTCTTAGAGCCTACTAGACTTTTTATTTGACTTAAATAAAAAAATTCAAATTTCCGACAGAATCTTGTATAAATGACCATACCAATTTATGTGCAAATTATTAAAAACAACGAATTATTGTCACCTGAAAAAACACAATATGTTCAATAAAGAAATGTATTAATCATAAAAAAAAATTAAATCAAATATAGCTTCTCTATACATTGGTTATAATTAATAAAAAAAATTGTTTATTACATCAAACTTGTTCGCTTTTATGATGAATAACTTAGCTGTGGTTACTAATTTTCATTATAGATTCGAAAACAAACATTCTGCTGAACATTCTTTTCCGTTCAATTCTGGCTAAATTATTAGTTTCAATTTTAAATATGGAAGTCCTATCAATTACGGATACCTAAAATTTAAAAAAAAAATACTTACAATTAAAAAATGGCATATCTTATAAAGAATAAAAGATGTTGCAATAGTGACATTATTTTTGGACATTGGGAACGAGAAATATTCAGTTGATTTTATAGCACTGCTCTTGAGTCAAAAGCAGTGATATAAAATGAACTGAATATTTCATCAATTTAATAGCATATACTTTTAAACGATCTTAAATATGCGGCGTATTGATTCAATAGCATATTTTTCTCAGTGTAAGCACACGATCAGTTCCCTAAAATTTTTCCATACAAGTTTAAGCAATGTAAGGAACATGAAGTTTTCCAAAATAAATGATAGAGCTAGCCCTGGAAGTAAAATATGCGCTTATAATGAGTTATTAATTAGTTAATATGTAATTAAGAACTACAAGTATTTCTATTGAGAAAGAGAAAGTATTTCTGCAAGCAGTATCATTTATGCAGTGTAGCTATAGTAACAGTCAGAACAAAATTTGTTAAACGTGTTGTTGAGTATAAAAAAGTGTATTCAACTTACTTAAATGTCTGAAAATCAAGAAGAAATAATTGAAAAGAACGAAAAGAAGGAGTACAAACAGTATTTTAAAAAGCATGGTGTTGTGGACACTTTACCAAGGCATATCCTTCGTAGATGTTGGGAAAATGTAAACAATATGGTGAGTAAAAAAATTTATAAAATTTCACGTATTTATAAGGAATTTTTTAATTATTATTCCAAGTTACACGTAATATTACTGTCATATTACTGACGTATTAAAATGTCCGTCTGATGGTAATATGACAGTAACGTTACAGTAATGTTACGCGTTAATTTATTAACGCGAATTTTTATTGTTACCAGTACTGAGCCAGTACGGGCTGCCAGTACTTGTGAATTACTGCGCCTGTTGTCAATATCGGCATGTTACAGAAATTTTTGCTTGGCGAACTTTATATGATTTGAGTAATATTATTATACATTTTTTTCAATTTCAGGAAGTCAAAAACAAAGATGATGAACATATGAAAGATAGTTCGATGATTAAGAAAACAAAAGTCGACGAAAATGACAAAACTCGAAATGTACGTATTGAAAAAATGTACAACATTTATTTTAAATTTTTCTAGTATAAATATATATAAAAATTTAACACTGTGAAGTTGTAGAGAACCTTTTTCTTAATAAAATAAGCCATTAGTAATTAAAATTGCAACATTTTAAAAAAAAACTCACGATCGAGAGTATTAGAAAAAGTAATAAAAGTTAATTGTTATTAAATTTCCCATTGAAATTCAACAATATTAATCGAAAGCAAGCTTATTATTCAGATAAGATAGTAAATAGCACTAAATAATAGGCATAATAAATTACTGTTGCATATTTATTATGTAAAAAGTATTTTAATAATAGCATCAATTTCCATCGCTGTAGTCACGCGACTAATTAATACCTTTATGTGATGAATTAAACTTAAAATTTTCACACTTATGAATATTAAGATGTTAAATAATAATCAGTCATAATCAGAACAAAAGTTAGTCTAATTCCTTATTTTAGAATTTTTAATATATAAAAAACAATGTGAATTATACAGTCTCATACTGAACATTTTTTTCGGTCCCTTGAATCATTACAACTAAGTTTTTGACCTGGATATATCGAATTCTTGCCCATATCGGATATTTTTTTCGACCCTTCAAATTCGATATACAGAGGTTTCACTGTAATAATGTGTAAAAACTATTTTGTGACAATTTTCGATTTTCAATAAATAGATTCTATGGACTCATTGTCATCTTGAATGCATATATGTATATTCAAAGTTTTAAATAAATATCTATATATATATATTGTGATCACATTACCTGACACGCTTTGAATAATAATTGTTCTGTTTATATGCTTACTGTAAACATTTGAATACCCGGATCAAATAACTCGACCGACGCTCGGACGCACACTCTAATGGTAGTCGGGTAGCAGTGAGCCGCCCACAGGCTGTCTCTGCTACTTGACTGGTAATAGAGCGTTCGTCCGAGCGTCGGTCGAGTTATTTGATCCGGGTATTCATTTGTATCTAAAATCGGACTCAATAATTTCCTAAAATATCAACAAATTTTTGGTTTTTTTCAAAACGTCAAAAATACTTTTTTGATGAAATGTTTTTTATACTCCAAATATAAATTTGTTTGTTGAAAGACTTATTTCACGCATTGAAACAATTTAATTAACTTACATAAGGTCCATATTTTACCTAAATCTATAAAATATTTTAGTTTTTAAAAGAAACCTTTTTTCTTGTTTTTCTAACTGATTATAACTAAAAATCTTGACTGTGTTTATTAGATTTTGTTTGTCTAAAGACGTCTTAACAATAAATATTATTCTAAATATTAATATTAGTCTTTAAATTATAAAGACTGAAAAAAACTAAAACTACTTCACATGCTCACATAAAAAGGTTCAAATTAAAGAAGTTTACTGGAATTGGATTTTTTATTCAATTTTTTTAAAATTGGCAGTAGTTCTAACTGGACTTACCTTACAAGGAAAAAATTTTTTACTTACATTACTTCATTAAGCGTACATATTTACTTTGTTTAAATAAATATTTTTTTATTATTAAAATTTTTAATAAACCATATGCATATGTAAAATGATTAAAAAATTGAATAGAATATTTTTTTCAGGTCAGC